AAGACGACGACGACTACTGCTATTGCTACTGCTGCTACTACTGCTACTGCTACTGCTACTGCTACTGCTACTGCTACTGCTACTGCTACTACTACTGCTACTACTACTACTACTACTACTACTACTAGTGGTCGTCGTTTTCCCCCAGTAGCCTGCATGTAGCCTAGAAATGGTAGAACAGTCCCCTAACCCATGTCTCTATGTTCGAAGGCCAACCCTTGCCTTTTAATCCTTTTAGGACGTAAGCATAAGCCTTTTACAAGGATATCCCCAACTTATTGGGCTTCATGAGAAGGGTTCTCATATGGAATATCCCTATCCTCTGTTTTGCGTATGGGCTTTTTGGGGGGCCCTGAGTACATGGCATCCGCGCCGGAGCTGTCGGCTTGGGATTTCACACTTTTTGTCTCCATTGTAGTTCCTATTTGGTTTAACCGATTTTATAGTCAGGATCCGAAAAGGTGACTCAAAAAAGGAGCTATATACAATGGAGACTACAGGTAAGTTTGCGTGTTTAGAGTCTAAAGTTCAGGGCGGTACGTTCAGCTTCAATTTTCATTAAGTGGGCCAGACGACTTAACTAGTAGCCCCTGCCTGTATCAAGTGCATATTGAAGCGAGCACGAAAGATTTTCTTCGAGAACGTCTCGGAGTTGGTACTCGGTGCTCGACTCGCTGGCGAGAGTGTGCTCTTCGGTGTTCGGTTTAGGGTTGAGGGTGTATGAGGCCCTAAACCCTAAACCCTAAACCCTAAACCCTAAACCCTAAACCGAAGAGAAGACGTATCCCAGGGCCATCATGATTGGCAAGAGTGGCGGCGAAGATGACCTCAAGCGAGGGTTGGCCGACTGGGACATCGTTTCAGTCTAAGAACCCTAGTCAGGGGTCCAAATGACGTTTCTTTAGCACTCGAGGTATGGTTGCAGTTGTAACGTAGAGTTCATCGTGGGGCGTAGGGTTTAGATGGGTTTAGTGTTCCGCTACAGCAAACACTCATACCCGTCAATGTGCCTTCGCTACGCCAGGCATAGCCTGAATACTTCAAGTCTAGCCTCCTGAGTAAAGCCCTAAACCCTTAAACTCGCCTACATACTTCAAGTCTAGCCTCTTATGAACCCTAAATCCCCAAAGCCTTGAAAGAGCCTACATACTTCAAGCCTAGCCTCCTAACCCTAAACCCTTACACCCTTAAAGTAGCCTACATACTACAAGCCTAGCCTCCTAACCCTAAACCCTTAAACCCTTAAAGTCGCCTACATACTACAAGTCTAGCCTCCTAACCCTAAACCCTTAAAATAGCCTACATAGGCCTGCATACTTCAAGTCTAGCCGCTTCTAAGCCCTAAACCCCTAAACCCGTCGAGTAGCCCACACACTTCAAGTGTAGCCTCTGAAGTGTGTCAAGAAGTTGAACCATGAATCCCCCTCATCCGCAGTGTTAGGTCATTGAGGCCGTCGATGGGGTGGTGCAGGACCCTATGGTCCGGAATTTCGCAGCATGGGCTCTGGGGTTTAGGGTTTAGGGTTCTAGGCTTTGGGGTTTTGCGGGCTTATGGTTTTTCACCTAGATTTACTGGAGATGACTCCGCAAGATCTTGCACCCCAGTCTGCATTGCCTGTGTGTTTGCCGCCGAGGATTCAGATGGGGTTTCGAAATCAAGGTTTAGGGTTTAGGGTTTGTTTATGCGTTAAGACCCTAAACCCTGAAGCCTAAACGTTTGAAACCCCTGAACCACAAAAACCACAAACTCAAAAGCCGAAAAAACCCTCAACCCTAAGCCTTAAACCTCAACCCAAATCCCTAACTCGAAACCACCCTCAGCCCTAAGTATATAAACCCTACACTGTAAACCTTCAGGATTCAGGAGACTTCATGTTCATTTGAGAGGGTTTAGGGGTTTAGGGTTTAGGGGTTTAGGGGTTTGGGGTTTAGGGTTTAGGCTTTAGGGGTTTAGGGCTTAGAGAGTCCCTCTCAACCTTCATCCGATTGCCCTACAGTCCTAAACCCTCAGGGTTTGGGGACGAGGGTTTAGGGTTCCTACCCTGGGTGTAGGAGGGTTTAAATTTCGGGTTTCGGGTTCAGGGTTAAGGGTTTTGGAGGGTTAAGGGTTTCGGGTTCAGG